GGCGTGGCACGCCCTTGTGGGGGGCTGCCCGCCGGGGTGCGGGGGAGGAGGGGCGTCTGGCCTGCCTTCTCTGGCGTTCTAGGCTGTGTGGCCTCAGCCCCGGCCACTGGTGGCTGCGTCCAGGCCTCAGCTGCTACTGGGGCTCAGACCCCCAGAGCCATCAGTGCCCCTGAGCTGCTGATCTTCTTGAAGCGGTTGGCAGCGCTGACGGCAATGAAGTTTTTCTGGAGAATGAGGGAGAGAGAGGATGTGGTGGTGGAGTATCCTCCCTGTTCCCCCTGAAGTCTCCCCTGAAGTCCCCCCTGAGGTCCCCTTCACTCCAGGAGGGTCAGAAGCCAGGGAGGGTGCAGTGTTCCAAACAGCCACGGGGGGCGCCACAACACTGCTTTATCCAGGCTGCCTTCCTTCATTCCACAGGTACCAAGGCTGGTCACACTGGAGCGGAGGGCCACTCTGCTCAGAGCGCTGCCATGGCTCCAGGTTTCCTCCAAGTTAGAGACACCTCTCGCCACGCTGGATGAGTCGGTCACATTCCCCTCAGGCTTCGTTCCAACGCTCACTCACAGCAGCCACACTAGCCTCCTACCTGTTCCTCCCCTCGTCCACTGCGTTTCTGCCGCAGGGCCTGTACACCGCTATCCCCTCTGCCCGGGACGCCTCGCCCACTGCTGGCGCTGCTGGCCCCTCACCCCCGTCAGGTCTCTGCTCACGTGCTCCTGGTCAGTGAGCCTCCCCGAAGTCCTATTTAAACGTGCAGCCTCTCCCCTGGCACTCCTTAATTTCTGCAAAGAACTCTCCACCTCCCATTAAGAGGAAGACTCACGGGGCCAAGCAGCGGTGCAGCAGTAACACAACTGGGCCCCCATGGGAAGATTCCAGGTTCACGTCCCAGAGCCTCTGTGCACCCCAGACATGCCCACGCAGGCACGCAATCCAGGCTGGCTGAGGTGGGGGTGGACCCTGTTGGGGGTCTCTGTCTCTCTCTTTCATGGAAGAAGTAAATACACTTTAAAGAGAGAGTGCGAGCACAAGGCTAATATCTGTGTTTCTTTTGTTCACTGCCGTATTCTAGTGGCTAGAAATAGTAGATGCTCAATAAATACTTGAAAAATGAAGGAAGAAAGCCTATGATGGAGTTAGTGATGTTTCTGAACCCGAGTCCCAGATGGATGCCCCACCCCAGGGTGGAGGGGGTGTAGATGTCTCTGTTCCAGGGTAGGAACCAGCCCAGGACCAAGAGAGAGAAGCCAGCCCTGTTTTCCAGACAGGGCCAGGCCTGGAGGATGAAGCCTGCCAAGGCAGGGCTGGTGGGGCCTGGGATCTGGCACCAGGACCTCTTCCCACCCCTGGCCCTCCTCTCCACACCCAGCGCAGCGGTACCTTCCAGCGCCTCTTCATGAGGTATTTCTTAAGCAAGATCTGGGACTTGAGGCGTCGGTTACAGCGCTGGGCTTTCTCGGCCAGGTTGTTGAGCCAGGGGTGGGCGAGGCACTGGGCGGCGCTCATCCGAGCCCTGTGGGTCGGAAGCAGTGGTTATGGTGGGCCGCGAGCCCATGAGGCACCACAGCCCCCGCCGGCCTCCCGGCCCAGTCCCCACCCTGCGGACACACACGCACTAGGCCTGCACACACGGGGTTTGCGTCCTGGGGCGAGCCTCACCCCTGGTCCTTGACGATGAGATTGGAGACGAAGTCTTTGGCCTCATCCGAGACAGCCTCAAAGGTCTCCTCATCAAAGTACCAGTTGCCAGAGAGGACATTATTCAGGGTCTCTGTGTCATCGTCTCCCAGGAAGGGGGAGAGGCCGCTCAGCCTGGAGGGAGGTGAGATTGGGGCTGCTGAGTCACCTCGAGGGGAGCAGGGGTTGGGAGCAGATCCAAGGAGGCAGCACCATGTGCTGAAAAGACCCCCGGCTTCCCAAGTGGGACAGACCTGGGTTTGAATCTGGCTGGGTGACTTTGGGCAAGTCACTTCCCCTCTCTGAGCCTCACTCTTCTCATCTGTAAAATGGGCGTAATCGTCCCAGCTTCCCGGGGTTACAGCGAAGATGAGGAATGATGAGTGCGCAGCTTGTCGCAGGCGCACTAATGCGTCCACCATCCCCTGCCCCACCCTGGGCCACCCGAACCTGCTGTCCAGAGCCCTGGGCTGGGATGTTCTGCCTTGAGGGACCTTGGTTTTTCCCTTTCCTGGTTCTCCCTAGCACTCCCAGCCCCCAGCAAGCCCCTGACTGAGGGATCAGGGAAGTAGGACTGCCTCACCAGGACCCCAAGGCCAGTCTTGGCCTTGGCTGCCCACCCACGTGCCCGGCCACCCCTCACACGCCACCCCTCAGGGCTCACAGCATGTAGGTGATGACCCCCATGCTCCACATGTCTGTCTTATCGGAGATTTGGTCGTAATTCACCACCTCAGGTGACAGGAACTCTGGGGTCCCAAAATTCACCTTCAGCTTCTCGTTGGGGTTATACCTGGGGGCGGGGGACCAAGAGCTCAGAACACAGCTCCCGGCCTGCTCCCGGGCACCCAGTGTCCCTGCCCTGCCCCTGCCAACCTCAGAGGCTGGCCCTACCCGGGGTTACAGCGAAGATGAGGAATGATGAGTGCGCAGCTTGTCGCAGGCGCACTAATGCGTCCACCATCCCCTGCCCCACCCTGGGCCACCCGAACCTGCTGTCCAGAGCCCTGGGCTGGGATGTTCTGCCTTGAGGGACCTTGGTTTTTCCCTTTCCTGGTTCTCCCTAGCACTCCCAGCCCCCAGCAAGCCCCTGACTGAGGGATCAGGGAAGTAGGACTGCCTCACCAGGACCCCAAGGCCAGTCTTGGCCTTGGCTGCCCACCCACGTGCCCGGCCACCCCTCACACGCCACCCCTCAGGGCTCACAGCATGTAGGTGATGACCCCCATGCTCCACATGTCTGTCTTATCGGAGATTTGGTCGTAATTCACCACCTCAGGTGACAGGAACTCTGGGGTCCCAAAATTCACCTTCAGCTTCTCGTTGGGGTTATACCTGGGGGCGGGGGACCAAGAGCTCAGAACACAGCTCCCGGCCTGCTCCCGGGCACCCAGTGTCCCTGCCCTGCCCCTGCCAACCTCAGAGGCCAGCCCTACCCCCACCCGCCCCCTCCCCCACACCCACTTGGGGGTACCTCCGTGCCAGGCCGAAGTCAATGATCTTCACCAAGTGGCCTGTGGTGTTGACGCACAGGATGTTCTCTGGCTGAGGAGAAAGGGGTGTCCTGAGTTGGCCTGTAGCCCAACTCCCTGCCTCTCCCTCCAGGGCCACCCAAGTCCCAGGCTCCCCAAGAGACAGAGGCACTCACGGCTAGAGTGAACAACCGTCAGAGACCCCCTGGACCTGCCTGATCTGGCCATGGATAAGGATCCCGAGGCCCTGAGAGGGCCTTGTAGGAGGCTCAACACTCAAGACCTCTTGGTGGTTTCACTGGGATTTCCCTCCATTTAAGGCCCTGAAGGGACAGCAGCGGTCTAGAAGTTCTGGGGATGGGGAGAACAATGCCTGCAGAGGAGAGGGCTGTGCCCTGGGGAGGCCAGTGCAGGAGGCCACCACCAGATACACGCGCTCCGGAGACCGAGAGAGCAAATTGCAGCCAGGGTCCCCAGGGGAAGCCTCTCGGGAACAGAGGGTTTCACACTGCCCCGGGTACGTTCGGTGACGTGCTATGAACACACCTGTCTTGCCTCCCCAATGAGCGAAGGCGACAAGCTACCAATGCTGGCCCTGTGTCACTCACGTCTATGCCATAGCTCATCAGTCCTCCCAACAGCTCTGAGGCAGACACGTTGCCCTGGGGGAAAACTGCTACACTGAGTTACTGCTCCACTCCCCATTTACGGCTGAGGAGACAGGCTCGGACCCAAGTGACGTGCCACAGCGGACGGCGAGTGAGTGACCCAAGGACTGTCTGGCTCCAGCACTGGCCCCTGACGTCCCTGTGCCACCACTGTCCATCAAGGCCAGAGCTAGGTGTGGGACGGTGGGCTGTCCCTTCCAGGGCAGGGGACCATCTTCTCCTGGCCTCCTCGGTGCCCACCCTGAGTGTCCAACAAAGGCACCCACTGGGTGCTCAGCCGAGCTCAGAGGAAATGTGTGCCCCAGGCATGAATGAACATAGGGACGAAGTTACTGCACGGCGGGTTCCTCCCCACTCCGGGCCTCCGTTTCCTCTTCCTGTAACACAGAACTAATCCAAGGTTGCGGGGTATAAACATTTAAAAGTTAACAATGGTTCAAAGGCAGTAGATTTTGCACAAAAACCCAGGCTTCCAGCACCTCCTGAAAAGCCGGAAGCCCTGACCACATGGACCACACTTGTCGTAGCACTATCCGAAGGCACTCGCAGGACAGAAGGCTTCACCTCAGGGCATTGCATGTTAATGGGGGACTCTGCTCTACCCCCCAAAATTGGCTTTCCTAGGGAAAAGACAGGCCCCCAACATTGCAGTGCAGGCACCAGCTGCCCCAGCTCAGGGAAGGAGCCGCCATCAGCCCAGTAGCTCAGCCATGAACTCTCTCCTTCCCTACCCCTTCCCTCTGACATGTGAATCAGCTGGCTCTGTTGTCTTTCTTTCTTAAAATGCGGGCACTTACCCAAGAGAGGCAAAGACAGAAAAAGAGCAAGGGAAAGGGAGAGAGCTGCCCCACCCCACCACATGCCTAAATCTCTTCCATCTCTCCTTTCGAGATTTTGGGCATACACATGCATGCACCTGGTGTGTTTCGCAAGCTACAGGGTCAGAATATGAACCATGCAGTCGACCATGGGGGATCCAGAATCTTAACCACCATGCCACAGGCTGGCACCCCTCCCATTTTGTTTTTTTGGGGGGAGGTTTTTGCTATAGGGTGCGTGTGCTCACCAGAAAGAGACAGAGAGACAGAAAGTGAGAAATCACCCCCCAGGGGGGATGGCCATGCCGCAATCCCTTCTCCTCCATTCTCCTCTCGGGATCTTGGGCACGTACGCACATGTGCCCAGCGTGAGTTTAAGCCACCGGGTCCAGGACTTGAACCACAGTCAACTACATGGGAGTTCAGTGACACAGCCATTATGCTAACTGCTGGTCCCATGGCCCCCCATTTTCAAAATGTGCCTGTCATCTGGCTGCTTCCTCCCCATCACCTACTGTCCCTGGGGCTCAAGCCCCACCATCCCTCTCTCGTGGCCTGGTCTACACCCTCCTAAATGCTCTGCTCCCACTTTGGTCCCACTGAAATCTAACTCCTCACCATCCTCACTGACTTGTCTTTTAGAGGGGATGACAGCAGCAGGCTGGACCCACAGGGCTGCTGGGAGGCCCATGCACTCGCCAGAGCAGCCTCTGACACCCAGTGAACCTGGGGGTATGAGATGCAGCAGCAGCAGCCCACTGCCCCACTCCAGACTGCAGAGATTCTGGCCCTTGCCGACTCCTCCAGTTTCACCTACTTAATCATTATTTTATGAATGTCTGTATCTCCCATTAATCTGGAGGGTCCATGAGACAAGGTCCTTGTTCCTCCTGACCTACTATGTGCACAGCACTGAGCAAGATCAGAAGAGGGACACAAATGATTTTTTTAAACCTCTTTGTTAGCACCCACCTGGTGTGCATGGCTGTATCAGCACTGTAATGATTTAGTTTATTTTAGAGCCTGTGCACTTGCCACAGAGAGAGAGAGAGAGAATGCACCCCCTTGGGGGATGGCCACACGGTAATTCCTTCTCCATTCTCCTCTTGGGATTTTGGGCTCGCATGCACATGTTTTCCCAACTGTGTCTGGGATTCGAACCACACAGTCAGCCGTGTAGACCCAGCCACCTTAACCACCACACCACCTGCTGGCCAGACTCCACTTATTTGTAAGCTCTGTGCATGCAGAAACCCAGTGGGTTTCCACCAGCCACAACAGTGTCTGGCATACAGGAGGCCTTTAGCAAATGTGGGTTCATTTTAAGCAAAGGAACACTCATAGAAACTACCTGGGCCAGTGCAGAAGTCGGCGCTTTTGTAACACCAGCCATTTCTGTGCGAGACTGGCTTGGGGCTCATGGCACAAGTGACCTTTCCCGCAAATACTTAGACTAGACCGGAAAGTGCCTTGAGACTGGTACCGTGTCTTTTTTCTTTTCTTTTTCTCTCTCTGTTCTGTCCCAACTTCTGACCCTTAGTAAATGACTGCTATGCTTTGGATAATGGTTTATCCCCCAAGTTTCATGTTTTATAATTTGATGTTGGGGGCAATTGGATCATGGTGACTGCACCATGCGGCAGCGCTCCCATGGAGAGGTTAAGGGAGACCCAGTGAGTTCTAGTTCTTGCGAGAAGGGGTCAGTTCTTGTGAGAGCTGGTTGCCGTAACAGTGAGAAAGAAGCTGCCTGCCTCTGTCTCCCTCTTGCATGCACTCGCCATCCTCTGTGCTTCCCTCAGCAATGCTGTAGGCCCATGCCTTTGGACTTTGCAACCACCAGAACTAGCTGTTTTGCAAATAAACCTATTTCCTTTTTAGTTTTTACTATGGAGTGCATGCACTCACGAGAGAGAGAGAGGGAGAGAGAAAATGAGAAATCGCCCTCCGGGGGTATGGCCATGCTGCAGTCCCTTCTCCTCCATTCTCCTGTGTGTTTTGGGCACGCAGGCACATGCACCCAGCATGATTTTCAAGCTGCCAGATCTGGAACTTGAACTGTGCAGTCAGCTATGGGGGATCGAGCGCCTGAACCTCCACATCACCTGCTGGCCCTAAGCCTATTTCTTTAAATCACTTAGTCTCAGGTATCTCTTTTAGCAACACAAATATGAACTAACACAGTGCCCACTAAATCCTTTTTTAATCTGGGTGCGAGGACAGATGAAGGAAGGCAGGAGGTGGGGAAGATGGAGGGACCAGCGGCTACGACTGATTTCCAGGGGCCTGGTGCTGCTCCTGAGCCCTCCGGGAGGCCCCAGCCCCATACCTTGAGGTCCAGGTGCAGAACCCGCATCTTGTGCATGAAGAGGATCCCTTCGCAGATCTGCCTGACAAACACCATGGTGTCCACCTCAGTCAGCTGGTAGTCCTCATCCACAATCCTCTCGAAGAGCTCGCCGCCCTCGATGCTGTGTGCATAGACCCCCCCGCGGGCTTACTCTGAGCCCGCTGGCAACCCCGCCGGGCCCCCGTCCCCCAAGGCCAGCACTCACTACTCCATGAACAGGACGATGTCATGCGGGGTCTCAATGGCCGCGTACAGCTGTATCAGATTGCGGTGGTTCAGCTGGTTCATTACCTCGATCTCCAGCATCACCATTTCCTGGGGACCGAGGAGCCAAGGGCGCCCGTCAAGCTTCATCCACGCTGCCTCCCTCAACACCTGCACCGTGGCTTGTCGGGCCTTGCCTGGACCACTGCCCAGCCTGCTCTGTGCCCCTTCTCTTCCCTACCCCTGAGCCCACTGTCCTCACCACACCCAGCCATTCCTTTGGGGATACCTTCCCTCAGGCTCTGACAAACATTGCCATCCTGAGGACGCCTTCCTTTCGGCTCAACTCCCCACCTCCAGGCTTTCTTCCTGGACATTCTCATCAAGTCCCACGGCTTTACATTCTGCCCAGTGCAACTGATTCCCAAACACGCAGCAACACCTCTGAACAGCGCTTCGGCTCCAGACTCCTATATATACCCAGCTGCCAACTTGCCAGTTCCTTGAATGTCCAATAGGCATCTCAAGTCTATCACGTCCATAATTAAACCCTTGACACTGTCCCTTCTCCACAATAGCACTGTCCATCACAGGAGCCAGCAGGTGAATTTTGCAAAGTGCATTTTGTGCATGCATGCACACACGCTGAGTATTTTCCAAGCTGCCAGGTCTAGGACTTGAACCACACAGTTAGCCATGTGGGATCCTGTCACCTTAACCACCAGGCCACTGACTGCTTCTTTCTCTCTCTTCCTTCCTTCCTTCCTTTCTTTCTTTTTAAAGGTTTTTGCCATAGGGTACGTGCACTTGCCAGAGAGAGAGACAGTGAGAGGGAAAGTGAGAAACACCTCCACTCTCAGGAGGGATAACTGGGTCGCAGTCCCTTCTTCATTCTCCTGAGGTTTTGGACACACGTGTACACATGCTTGGCATGATTCTCAAGCTGCCAAGTCCGGGACTCAAAATGTGGTTGGCCATGTGGGAGTCCAGTGCCTTAACCACCACGCCATCTGCTCCTCCTCCGACCTGATTTAAGGGGTCTGTCTCTCCACTCTAGCACATCAGCCCCTGTGGGCAGGGACTTACTCAGTTCATCCACACCTGGCACAGGGGATAGCATAGACAAAGCACTCAATAATAAGTCAGCTAGCCTCAGTGTGGCAGTACAGTGACACCCTGAAATACTAAAGTCACACTGGAAGCTCCTGGGTCTGCATCCCGAGGCTGAGGCTGGAGTGGACCACAGCAAAAGACCATGTTTGGGGTGTTTGTCTCTTTCAGTTTTTCTTTCTCTCTTAGAGAAAATAAACTTTCTTTCTCTGAAAGATTTTTGCTATAGGGTTCATGCATTCATCAGAGTAACAGAAAGAGGGAAAATGAGAAATCACCCCTCAGGGCAGATGGCCAGGCCACAATCCCTTCTCCATTCTCCTCCTAGGATTTTGGGCATGCATGCATATGCGCCCAGCATGAGATTCAAGTCACCAGGCTGGGACTCGAACTGCAGAAGACCATGTGGGAATCCAGCACCCTAACCACTACACAATCTGCAGGCCCTAAAATAAACTTAGAAAAAGTAAGCAATCACTAGCAGACTTCAGGTAATTTCAACTAGACTGGAAAGTTCTTTGAGGGCTGGTACCATGCCTTTTTTCTTTTTCTTCTTTGCAGTGTCCCCACTCCTGGTCCTGAGTAAGTGGCTGTTATGCTTTGGATAATGGCTCGTCCCCCAAGTATTGAGCATCTAGGCTAAACCAGGTCTTGTGGTAGAGGCATAGCTGGGACCCAGCAGGCAGTCTTACAGATCCTGGCCCCATCAAGTGGAAGAGACAGGAAGGACACAGTCCTTCCAAGCATATTAGAGCATGTTAGAGCCAAGACAGGGAGCTGAGGGCTGTGGCCCCTTCTCATGCAGCTGCTGGGCTCCGGGCCCCGTACACGCTGGCACTTCTGCCTGGGATGCCCGTAACCTCGCTTCTCAGCACCCCTCTGCCTGAACTCTTCCCTGGCTCTGCCTTTTGAACTGGAACACCTCCCCAGTCTTCCAAGACTTCACCCAGGAGACAGCTGGTTTAGGAAGAACCCCTCCTCCCACCACATGAGGTTGCCGGGCTGTCATCGCTAACACACACCAGACTCCCCCGACCCACGTGAGCCTATGCCCACATTCATTTGTTCACTCCTTGAGCAGCCGCTGCCCATGGTCCCTTCTCAGGCCAGCCCAGGCCGGGGTCCCCGTGCCCTGCACAAGGTCTACCCCAGAGCACACACTCATCGGTGTGTGATTGAACCAGAGGGTATGAATATCCCATACCTAGGAGGAGTCGTCCTCCGAGAAGTTCACTAACTGAGGTGTCTGGGTGATGATTAGGACCCCGGGCCCTGTCTGTCTGTCCATCTGTCCATTTGTGTGGCATCGTCAGAGCATCGCGGCTCCTACACCAGGCCCAGGCTCAGCAGCAACAATGGA